GTTGGACATTCCGGTTTTTATACTGCTTTCTTTTAATTCACTAACGCTCTAAAAATGAATATTTCAGCCGCAGTAAAGAATCAACGTTGGCGGATTTTGGTTCTTGACGATCGGTTACGATGCCTAGAGTACGGAGACCTGTACGATTTCGTCAACTTAGTGAGTTTGATATGGGCGGTATAGTGGGACTTCGGGAAGCTGGACTTTCTTTTCGGGCAATTGCAGTTAGAGTGCAAAGAAGTGTAGACACTGTCGTTAGGTGTTGTCAGGCATGGCTTCGAGAAGGCCGTACGCAAAGAGCAAGGGGCACTGGACGCCGCCGTAGAACAACAGACCGTGAAGATCGCCGCCTAAGATTATTGGCCTTAAGGGACCGTTTCTCCACTACCAGGTCCATTGCAAATGAATGGTTTGCAGAACACGGAAGACCTATTGGCATGCGAAGTGTTTACCGACGAATGAGAAGTTTTGGCTTGTTTTCATACCGGTCCCACTGGGTCCTCCCTTTAACTCGAGAACACCGACGTAATCGCCTTGAGTGGTGCAGACAACGGTCACTCTGGGATCAGGAATGGAACAGTATTGTCTTTAGTGACGAGTCTCGATTTTGTTTAGGCATGCACGATGGTCGTGCCAAGAAGGCGACGTGGTGAAAGGAGGACTCCACAGTTTTTTGTTGAAAGACATGTTCATCACACTGTTGGAGTTATGTTTGGGGTGCTATAGCTTATGGTTCCAGGTCACCTTTAATCTTCATCAGAGGTAACATGAACGCGCAGCGTTATATCCACGAAGTTCTAGAACCCCATCTTTTACCCTATCTTGACACCCTGGCAGATTCAACTTTCCAACAAGATAATGCCCGACCACATGTTACAAGAGTCACAATAGACTTCTTTCAACATAATGATGTCACATTGTTACCATGGCCACCAAGATCTCCCGACTTATCCCCAATTGAGCACGTGTGGGATATGATGGGTAGGAAATTGCTCAACTTGCAACGTCCTCCTCAGACTCTAAAAGCACTTCGAGAGGAGTTCGTGGTTGCCTGGAATGAGATACCAAAGGAGGACATTGACCACCTGATCAGAAGCATGCCTAGGCGCGTTGGAGAATGCGTACCACATCAGGGTGCATCCACACATTATTAAAGGTCAAAGGGCTTTAAAGCAGTGCAATCATTTTGAAATTTTTATCATTTACTTATTATGCTTCATTAAGTACTTATACAAAATTTTATTAACATAAAACCATTTAAACTGGGTGTTCGGATTTATATGTCACTTAGTATAAAATAAGATATTAAATTAATCACAATATATTGATTAATAAAAAAACACACATGTGCTCCACTACTGGACTGCGAGTAATAAAAAAAAACAAGGATGTTATAAACCTTAAATACAACCTGACAAAATTAGTTTTCGAGATAACCCCGCGAGACGTCTACCATGGTATACGCCCGAAGTATTTACAGATATTTTGTGTCTAAATATTAAACTTATATGTAGGTCTTCTTTGCGCGGCCGAGATGTCCTCAACTCTGGTCAAAAAGTGGCCAGTAGTGGGCACGTCACTCGGCAGGGGCTGCTTGCCTCGTTGTGAAAAATTATGGTAGTAAAAAAAACCCTAGAGAGAGAAAGACTGTTTAAAAATCTACTCTACTCTCTGTCTGAGATAAAACTACTTATTGAAAACAATCGCACTTGAAGCAAAACTGTGTATATTTTTTTGTACAAGAAAAGTAAAGCAACGGCAAAAAAAAGAAAAATGTACTAAACCCTTGTTCTAAGAAGTTATGGCAGCTCAAAAATCAAAATCATGATCAATTTAGGTACTGTCCCCATACGTAGAATTCCAATAAAATCAAGAAGTCTCTAAGAATTTCAATAAGCAATAATAAATGTATAAAGATCTATGAAATTGTTAATTGGAATGATATTTTACCTGTTCACATCAGGGTTTTTTTTTCAAGAGGATCGCGTCCACCAATTTGCAAAACTGCAACAAGATGATCTTCTGTTTCTATTGACTAAAAGAAAGCAGATATTGAACGAACGTCATCAGGACACGCATTAAGGCACGTGGTCCGAAGCTATATAAAAAAGAACTTACCGCTGGGGGTCAAAATCCCATAAGAAAAATGGATGACGTAGCACCCAAATCAAAATGACTAAACTTAAGTTACATAAAAAAGGGTGCTAGTCCATGCATTGGCGCTTGCGGCCTAATATCCCAGAGTCCGGAAAATGACGAAACGACCCCTGCATCACGACCTCAACGGAAACAGAAAAGCGAATCACGCTGAACACGTAACGTTCTAGAAGAAGGTATCTTGAGTTGGCTTGAAGAAGATACGTTTTATAGGAAACCAACTAACGGAGAAAAACTACAGAGTTTTTTTTTGCTGATCGTCAACACCATACTGAATCGCTGAGAAAGAAAGATATAATACGAGTGAAATTATACAATCAATAAACTATTAAATTTGCCAAAAGAAAATCATTGAAAAGGGTTTGGCCTAGGAATGGGCACTCTATTATCAATGACGAGAAATTCAAATTACGGATAAGTGATAAATAGTAAAAAAAGGTTACGTGATTTTGGCACGTTACACGTTCAGTTCCGTGGAGTGACCGTATAGAAAATATTTCTCTGTCATTCAAGTTTCAAGGGCGAATATACGGAGAAATCGATGAAGTATTTAATATGTCTAACAGGCGCGTAGAATCAGTGAGATTGGAAGCGTATAAATATACTGCCATCAAAAAACTGAGTCACTCTCACACGCCCCTCCCCAGTTTTCCACCCTTCACAAAATTGTTTCAAAATGCACAAGGCTCTCCGAAATGTCAAAGAACTAAGCTTGGGCGACTTTTATTTTCTCTTTTCGTTTTTAGTGCTAACTCCGCCAACGCTAGACCAATTTTCCTTTCGGTGATGGCGTTTGGCAAACAAATGGTGGTATACCAATCCGCAGTAACAGTTCTTTGTTCATTAAGAGGAATTATTGCACAAATGTCGCGATCATCTTTTTCGAAACACTTCAAGAACCGATGACTTTTGTTGGCTTTTCTTCACCTTGGAACACCCAAACAGCCGACTGTGGTTTATTTTCTGGTTCATAACAGTAAATCCACGATTCATCACCAATAACAATGCTATACACATTTTTTGAGTTTCCGGAATTGAAACGGTCAAGCGTTTTTTGACACCAATTAACCCCGGCTGCTTTCTGCTCTTCAGTCGACAGGTGGCGTATTCAACGAGAAACTAATTTTCTTACTCCTAATTCTCCATGTAAAATTTTTTGAATGAAGGTCTTTGAGATCTTCAAGGACGCCTCAATCTCGCGATATGTCACATGTCTATCTTCAATGATGAGTTTGCGCACAGCAGCGACGTCTTCCTGGGTGACTGCCGTTTTTGTTGCACCCACCCTGGGATCGTCGCTAAGACTCACCCGTCCACGTTTGGATTCTCCATACCAACGGAAAATTGTCGAAAACATACAGTAACTCAGCAAGTCATTCTTGTTGCGATAATTGTCTCTGAAAGTTGTAATAAATTATGGCGCGAAAATGTTCTCGGTTGAGTTCCAGTTTTCTAATGACTTGGTGACACTTAAAAATTCACTGTAGTGAGAACACTGCACGCATAGTTGTGAAACTTTGAATTTAACTTTACTAAAGGGTGAGGTTAAGATTCAGTACTTACGTTCGATCCGCGCGGCCTACTATGTTTCTATATGCAGACATCCCTCGTACATGTCATATAAAACCAAAAACCATAGTATCTCATTTTCTAATTTTTTCACGATAACAATACTTAGGCGACTTACACACCAAAGCCGAGCCGAGCCGGGCAGAGCAAAGCGATGCGATGCCGAGCCGACCGAAATCTGCCTACGTTCGCACTGAAGCCGATTCGCTCTCAGTAGGTTTTCTAGCCTTGTAGTGAGATGTGCTTCCCCTCAGTTCAAGTTGAACCAGTCTCATTGTCAGTTGAAATTATTCAGTGCAATAATGTCAGCCACTTTGATGATGATGTTACTAGATAGTTCCGCACTTGATGAACGTGTGGTAGAAAGAAGGCGATACTGGACTCACAATATCAATAAAGATCACGAGACCAGCGGACAGTTCGTAACTCTATACCAGAAACTTCGAGAAGATGAAGAAAGGTTTTGGAGATATTTTAGAATGAGTACCGATACAATTGATTATATACTGGAATCCATTTGTCCACAAATCCACAGAAGAAACACAAACTACAGAAGAGTTATTCCATGTGAAGAAAGGTTGATGGTGACTATTCGGTAAGTGACCAAGATGTCAATAACTTTAACCTTCATTTTTTCTTTATCTACAAGTGTAAAAGGGTGTAAAAACAACATAGTAATACGTTTTAAAAATTGTATTGATAAGAGTTCAGTACAATTCGGATATACTACAAATATATTTAATCTATATTCTATCATCGGTGAAGCTAGAAAATAAAGTTGAAGCATCCCCTGGATTGGTCAGTGTAGACGTTGGTAATATGTAGTCAGTATAATTTATAGATTGCAGACTGGTATTATTGGGTTTTTGGTTTTTATCAATTTCTTTCATTACAATTTCCATAATTTTGTATCTCAGGAACATTTGTGAATTTATAGGGAGTCTGTTTATGGGGTCTTTGAGCCTCATCAGAAAATGATAAGTTGTATCTTTCTCGTCTTCTTTTTTCGCCATTGATTTCATGATGTCCAGTTTTTCTTTTTTAATATGCAGCCTTTCACCTTCTTCTGCTGCAGTGACTTTGCGTTTTCTACCTACACTTGAACTTAAAGAACTAGAAGGTGCAGAAGATATAGAGACATCAGTTGGCGATTCTGGGCAACTCATCACCCCTCCATCAATAGACTCTGTTTCACGCTGTGACTCTTCCTGAGTGAAATACGAGGAGTCACTTTTAAAGTTTCCTTCCATACTTCTAGAAGATAGGGCTCCTCGTCAAAATTCCATGTTTTTGAACCATTTCCATTGGGGCTTGCATGGTGAGCCTTGGGCGTCCCCAAATTTTGGTTTGCATTCTTTCTTTAATTCATTCCGAAAACCGTCCCTCAAATGTTTCCATTTCTTCTGTGCTATAATATCTGCAACAAACGAAAAATAATGTTGTTGAAAATTGTATTCTTGTTCACAATAGACATTAAAATTTATATTAGAGTTGTTGAGTAGCACATTTGTTCTAATATAGAAATTGTTTTCAGGTATCTATCGACAGGATTATCCTATGGAGCCATCAGTGATGCATTCAAAATTGGAACCTCAACGGTTCACTACATTATTGCAGAAGTTTGCACAGCAATTTGGGACAAGTTAGCATCGATACACATGCCGGAACCTACAACTAATTTGTTTCTGCGATCATCTACTCTTTACATGCAAAAGTGGAATTTACCCAACTGCGTGGGGGCTATAGACGGGAAGCATATTCGTGTGAAATGCCCTGCTAATTCAGGAAGTATGTACTATAATTATAAAGGGTACTATTCAATCGTTCTGCAAGCACTTGCTGATGCACAATACAGATTTATTGCGATAGAAGTTGGTAAACAATCTGACGGTGGAATATTTTCCGAAAGTACCCTTTATCGCCGATTAAAAAATGGTACTTTTAATATGCCAGCAGACACAGAATTGCCACAAACAAACATAAATTGTCCCTTTATGGTTATCGGAGATGAAGCTTACCCTTTGACTCCTTGGCTTATGAGACCTTCCCGAGGAGGGAATTGGACGACTTGAAACGAACATTCAATGAACGCTTGTCAAGAGCTAGAAGAGTTGTGGAAAGTTCGTTTGGAATTTTGGAGTCTAAATGGAGGTTACTCCAAAAACCAATTGAAACAACCCCTGATTTAGCTGACAAAATTGTAAAGTGTATGTGCGTGTTGCATAACATTGTTATCGACAAGGACGGAATGGACGAATTGATGCTCCACGAGATAGACCAACAATCGTCCAATTTCGGTGAAACTGAACAACTGTCTCCAACTGTAAACACACGTTCTACAAGACGTGCACTGACAACGCGGCTGGCATTTGCGCAATATTTTTTAAATCATCCAGTGTAGATTTCATTTTGATGTAACTTTTCGATTAAATTCATATAAAAATCTATATTAGGTACCTACCTGTTGTGTTGCATTCAGCAGCTACTTCCTTCCATAGATTTATTGCAACATCCCTATCCATGTACTTCTTTTTGGACTGATCCCACAACGGAGGTCCTTCCTGAATAGAACTAATTAGTAGTTCAACATCAACACTAATTTATGTTTATTTTTTGAAGTGACAACATGTAGAACAAAAACCACTTGACGTGTTTTAACTTATTGGAACGCCGAACTAGACTGGAAGGACGCCGAATCCGCTTAGCCGAAAACGCTCGAATTGGTGGTACATAGCAATGCTCAAATCGGCTCGGCCTCTCCCGGTCTCGCTCGGCGCGGCCCGGCGTTCTGTTTGGAAGCTCCCATTCAAATCTTGCATATTTAGCGTTTGAGCGATTTCCGTCCGGCTCGGCTCGGCTTTGGTGAGAAGCCCCACTAACTCATCATTTCATTTTATCTACATCAGAAATAAGAAACTTGCCAAATTCGTTTCTGGGCGAGCACAAACAAGTAATGCGTTCTAGGATCCATATTTAACACATTCATGATAAGTTCCGTTTCTTTTTTTTTCCCATAATCACGTTTGTCTGATGTCAGTTAATATGAAGCAACACGTATACGATCGGTGACCACGTTCAAATTTATTTGTACAATTTTAACAAACTATTGAACAAACTACGAAAAGGTTATATTTTTGTTCTGAACAGAGTAAATTTAGATTCTCTTGAGTTCAATCCTTACAGGAGGCAGATTGTGTGTATGTATGAATGTATGTGTGTATGTATGTAAAGGAATCTTTGAGCATAATTTTCACTAATTTCCAGAAGTTTGATCGATCTGAAACTTCGCACACGTACCAAGGACCAATGCGATAATTTTATACAGTTTTCCATTCTCCTTATTAGGATCGCCAGGATTGATATATTATTTTATAGATCCTCTTTAGGGGAGTAAGAGAGATAGAGCCAGCGCGCGATCTGCGCATACGTGCAGGTTGGGACTTACTCTTTGTTCACTTGAGCACGCGGCACATCACAACGGAGGCAGATACTTTTTCAAGGTAGCGCATTCTCACCTTGCTCATTGCTATTAATCCTGAGTTGGGCTACGACCGTCCACAAGATGCGAGGTTGTCCAGTTGATCATGCAGTCATTTATCTAGGCTCGCGACTGCTGCTGGACAAGCTCAGGTAGCACTTAGTCGTGTAAGATCTTTAGACGGTATTCGGATTGAAGAACTTGATTGCTCTAAGTTAACAGTTAAAATCCCATGCAACAGTGAAGCTTTAAATGAAATGATCACCCAACTAGCAAAGTAGTACTATTAGCTTTTGGTAAAAGAACCGTTCAGCCATAAAAGCTCTCTATTGTTGTTGCCTGAACACCAAAATGCTGGCTTAATGTTGTGTGGAGTGCAAATTTGCTTTCTGCAACATATTTGCTCTAAAATGAGGTGTTTAAAATATTCTTATAGCATAGTTACACAACACCCCAACTAACAATTATCACTCCTATTAGAGTTGCAAGAATGATTATACAGTATTCCTTAAACAGCATTGTATACTGTAAGAACATTGGCAAAACTCTCTTAAAACAGCTATACAAGCGGAATGGGCACACCTAATAGGACACTTCAGTCATTTAAGAGCTTAAATAAGGGCTGCAGGTAACAGTTATAAAACAAAAGTGTAAGCCTCTTGCAGCCGCTATAGGACATTTTCATCAGTGCAAGATTCAGTTTTGGTCAACTATACAACTATTCTGTTACGTGATTCTACTTTATTGCCACCAAACTATTTCTTATGTATTGTATAGACGAAGTGAAGAATATATAACTAACACATTAGAGTCATCTTGTTTACTTACATATCGGCCATTGTGAATTTCATACACAGGTAGGTATATGGTAAACTTCTATACTGTGATATAGGACTATTGAATTACTTGCCCAGCAAATTTTATTGTGATTATCGTGCAAATTAGTTACCCAATTTCTACGGGCTTTGTATTTGATTCATATTTTGACAATGATTAAAAGTATGTCTAGATTTTTAAGATGGAAAACTGAACTTATCTGCGTTAAATCTTCCACAAATCCTATATTTAGACACAATTACACTAATGTTTATCACTTTATATCTGTAATTTCGAACTGAAACATAATTATTTAAAATTAAATAGAGGAATAAATGTTTACCCAACATGGCGAGTGGTTGTGTACAATCATGGCATCGTCCATGTTGTCTTTAGGTAATTAGAATATTTTGGTCTTGCCTGCAGGTGTTATACAACAATTTGACAAATGTCTGAAATGAAATACCGACAGAGTCGAATGATTTACCCAGAATTTGTACCAGATCTATATCTTCTGTTTGAGCAGTTGATAAAACCTTTTGAACCAATATGCATGCGTTGTTTGTCTTAAAACGTTGATTATGGCATTTTAGCATTTTACAAAAATATGACAGCAGAAAGTTAAGTTATAGTGAAGTTGTTTACCAACATATTTAGCATATGTACAGCCTTTAACAGTTGTATAAGTGCTTCCGTTGGGAGCAATTTGTTGGCTAAAGTAGTAAATTGCACAGCAAAACAACAAGGCTCGGGTTTGTTTTATAAACGTTACCATGGATGCCACAACACAACAACCATTTTGACTAACGTGCAAATATGCCGTATAAAATAGTTGTATAAACTTTTAGGCAACAGTTAAAAATTTGCAGTATAAGGTGTTGTATAACTATGCTATAAGAGTATTTTAAACACTTCATTTTAGAGCAAATATGTTGCAGGAAGCAAATTTGCATTCCACACAACATTAAGCCAGCATTTTTGTGTTTAGGCAACAACAATCGAGAGCTTTTGTGGCTGAACGGTTCTTTTACCAAAAGCTTATACCACTACTTTGCTAGTTGGGACCTTATAGGACAAATTTTTAACTGTTGCATAAACGTTTATACAACTATTTTATACGGCATATTTGCAGGTTAGTCAAAATGGCATCCATGGTAACGTTTATAAAACAAACCCGAGCCTTGTTGTTTTGCTGTGCAAATTTACTACTTTAGCCAACAAATTGCTCCCAACGGAAGAACTTATACAACTGTTGTTTAGTAACTGTTAAAAGCTGTATATATGCTAAATATATAGGTATACGACTTCACCATAACCTAACTTTCTGCTGTCATATTTTTGTTAAAATGCCATAACCAATGTTTTAAGAGAAACAACGCATGCATATTGGTTAAAAAGGTTTTATCAACTGTTCAAACAGAAGATATAGATCTGGTACAAATTCTAGGTAAATCATTCGAGTCTGTCGGTATTTCATTTCTGACATTTATCAAATTGTTGTATAACACCTGCAGGCAACATCAAAATATTCTAATAAACTAAAGACAACATGGACGATGCCATGATTATACACAATCACTCGCCATATTGGGAAAACATTTATTCCTCTATTTGTAATTAAATAATTATGTTTCAGTTCGAAGTTACAGATATAAAGTGATAAACATTAGAGTAATTGTGTCTAAATATAGGATTTGTGGAAGATTTAACGCAGATAAGTTCAGTTTTCTATCTTAAAAATCTAGACATACTTTTGATCATTATCAAAATATGAATCAAATTCGAAGCCCGTAGAAACTGCGTAACTACATTGCACGACAATCACAATAAAATTTGCTGTGCAAGTAATTCAATAGCCCTATATCACAGTGTAGAAGTTTATCATATACCAGTGTATGAAATTCACAATGGCCGATATGTAAGTAAACAAGATGACTGTATTGTGTTAGTTATATATTCTTCACTTCGTCTATATAATACATAAGAAATAGTTTGGTTGCAATAAAGTAGAATCACGTAACAGAATAGTTGTATACTTGACAAAAACTGAATCTTGCACTGACGCAAATGTCCTATAGCGGCTGCAAGAGGCTTACACTTTTGTTGTATAACTGTTACTTGCAGCCCTTATACAACCTCTTAAATGACTGAAGTGTCCTATTAGGTTTGCCCATTCCGCTTGTATAGCTGTTCTAAGAGGGTTTTTACAGTATAGAATGCTGTGTAGGGAATACTGTATATTCATTCTTGCAACTCTAATAGGAGTGATAATTGTTAGTTGGGCAGATTACGAAATGGTTCGAAAGACATTTCAATACCACATGTCCACAAAAAACTAATTGATCAATCGAACTGAAAAATGAAAAATAAACAATAGTTTAAGAAAACTAAATACACGTTTTTATATCTCACCGAACTGATAAGAAGAAAATAATTTTTAATTATAAAAACATTTAATATATCAAGCACCCCACGCTTTTAACTCTGAATTGAATTACTCTCTTCATAACTTAAATTTCATTATAATTTTATTTTAAGGTCATTAATTATGATTAATTGTTCGACCATCTACTACTGTGATATAAACTGTTTGTAATTAAAAATTATTTTCTGCTTTTTAGTTTGGTTAGCTATAAAAGCGTTTTAATTTGTTTTTTTAAACTATTATTTATATAGGTATTTTATACATTGGATGCAAAGTATAGACATACACCTTTATACCACCGTTATTTCCAAACGGATGTCTCATTACAGAAGATTGTGCATTGATCTGCACTGATATCACGTTTCTAGTTTCTAAAGAGGGTAATGAATGAAGCTTGAAGTATAAAAAAAGAGTATTTATTTTCTGCCCAATGCTTAAAGCATGATTATCAGCATCCTCAATATTTCATATCTTAGTTAGAACTATACTACCCACAACACTGAAATTAAAAGTACTGTTTTTTTTTTCATTTCATTGCGTATTTCCATAGGTCTCTATACCTCAACCTATAACTGTTTCCATCGAATAATTCCAGCATTCTGAATACAGCCTTAACCTAATTTCCTTCTGCTTCCGTAATATACACACACTGTTAATTTTTCCGATCATTTATCACAGCGGCCGTTGTTTGCCTTTACTCGCCCTTTTAAATGCAAGCCGTGAAGGTTTTATAGTAGTTATCGCAACCGTATCCTGATTTCGATTAGAAAGACAACCCCTAAAGTACATTACATGAATAAATGATGATTTTCCTCACTTCCTACTGCATTAAGTGCAGCCTGTTGAGAAGTGACAACACTGCAGTGAAAAACTAGTCGTACAATAATGGAAGGTCGAAAGCATTGTCTAGAAATCGACGTATTTTATCGCCGATGTAGCATGACTCAGTCTTTTAGATTTACGCAGTAACCATGCGATGTTATGCCAGTTCAAGGTCAAATCAATACATCGAAAACAATTTTCTCTAATGAAAGCATTTGACAACACGGTTGTGAAATTTATGGGGATAGCCCAAAGGCAACGTTGAGTATGACTCTGACCATGACCGTCTAGGTCATTGATTCCCAAAGTGGTCTATATCGACCCCTAGGGGTCTATGACAACCTGCAAGAGGTATACGTCAGCGAAAAAAAATTTGGGGGTCCATGAAATGAATATGGGGGTCCGCGATAGTGGATCTCAACACATACACTGATAGTACCTATTTACTTACATCATACTATCTTATAGTATCAAAACATACATTATTTATAAAAGTACCTATGAAGTAAAAAATTTATTATATATGTTTATAAAATTGTGTAAGATGTAGGATGTTGGTATGCGCTTTGTGGTCGCAATATATTTTGAACTTGTAAAAACCTGAGAGTCGCAGTCTCAGAGCTTCGCTACCTTGCACTGACTTGTTCAGTTCGTCACTCTATTACGAATGTGGGACAAATACGTTTATTCGTTTCCTGAATCTTGAAAAGGAAAGTGCTAAGAAAATATTTTAAAAAATATAAGCAGTATATCACACAAATTATAGTGAGTCAGTGTTATTTTGTTTGAGAGTGCTGGAGAAAAATAAAAGTACATTATTTTTTATTAAATTTTAGTTTTGTACTCGTAGTTAGCAAAGTTAGATAAATTACGTCAATCATGACTTTAGTTATTAGTAGTTAAATATTCAATCATGCAAAATTACACCAGTACTCCTCAATAGTTTCTTTTTGAAAGTTTTAGCAATCGGTAATATAATTACA